GGCCGAGTGGCGCGATGGTTAAGAACTGGCTTGGGATGCCAGAGGGCCCCAGTTCGGATCCCACATATGAGGGCCAGTGACACTGCCCTCCACAGCTAAGATGCTGAACAACAGCTCAACCTGGAGCGGGGCTGTTGTGAGACGCCGGCGACGGCGTAGGCTGTAGCCCCTGTGGCAGTGGGTTGCCATGGGCTACCATATGTAGCCAGCAGCCAGCGTGAGCGGCCAGCAGCCGCAGTGAGTGGCCGTCCAGAAGCCGGCGACTGATCTGCCTCGCCCGGGAAGAGCGCAATGATGGTGCCAACTTGGGCCAGTGAAGCAATGTCCTCCATAACTAGGCTGAAGAACAAAAGGACAGCAACTTGTCTGTTCCCCTTCCCCAATCCCCCAGCACTGTTCCCATCCCCCCAATTCCCCAATAAAAATCTTTAAAAAAAAAAATTGAAAGAATATAAAACAGTTAAATTTGAGATCATTTTGCTCTCTAGTTATAATGAGTGAGAAATAGTATTACTCAGCTAACAGTCACTTAAATCAAGGGGGAAATATTTTTTAGACAGCATTTTAACCAACCCAAATACAAAAACAAAAAATGCAGATTATGCTGAACATAAAAGGTAGAACGAAGAACAAAACTTACCTACTATTACTGTGATCTGCTCTTTTATAATTACTTGCGCATGTGTCCTAAAGGAAATCATACTGTACTTGCCATCTGGTGCCTTCTTGTAACTTACTATCCATGTTGCAAGGAACTAAATAACTAAATACAGCAGGTCCTCAAATAACGTGGTATCGCTCAACATCGTTTTGTTATAACCTTGAAGAGATGCCATAGGAACTCAACTCTTGTTTATATCAATTAGCCTAGGGTAAAATTGGATGTTTTATGTCATTTCGCTTGAAGTCACAGAACCTGTACACGACATTAAGTGAGGACTTACTGTACAAGTGTGAGATCAACAAACAGAAAGCCAGTCTGAAACTCAGATGTAGCAATACCAACAGCACCTCAAGTTTTGAAAGCAGAGGCAATTCAGAACATGTAGGAGTGTATAAAGCTGACAAGGTAATTTAAAAATAATCCCTATAATGCTGCATTGATGAACTTAACTTTCTGCTAAGATTCCTTGCATTCAAATGAATACCCTTTAACACATTCCATTTTTTGAACAGCATTTGAAAAAATATGCAAAGATACCTTAATTCATTTTACTTTTGATCTTTCCCCCAAAATTATAAGCAATTTTAGGCCTTTTAACTCTGTATCTCTTTTTAGTTAAATTACAGGCTAAGGTAAGACAATTTAGAGTGCCTTGAACTTCCACTTTTGCTTTGACAGGCAAATTGCTGAAAATAATTAAATAAATACTCCAATCCCCTCCCCCCAACAAGGAAAACATTTCTATGCCACCTCCAGCTCTAACTTGATGCTTGCGTTGACAGAAATGTCAATTACAGAACTAATAATAAAGTGTATTGAAAATGTATGAAATGTCTGCTCTATAAAAGAAAAGAAACTATTACTTCCTACTCTGTGATTTTGTCGCTTTTTTAATATAGGTGATGGCTAATATATATTCAAAAGACATGGTGACATCTCAAATAGTGAAAAACTGTTAAGAGCAGAAGTGAAAGAATTTTATAGAAAAAGGGAAATCTGATTACTTGTTCTTATTCAGACTGTTTATAAGAATGAGAAATTGAAATTTTTATGTATGCTTTTCATAGCTTCAAGTTCAATTCCAAAAATGTTACTTCTGTTTTTCTAATCTTTCTCAGTATTGAACTATTTTGATGCATTAAAATATGCATTCATTATTAAATATTTATTATAATAAATATGACATTAATTTCATTTATTTGTTTATTCATCATTATTGTTCTACTGTTTACTGAGCAGGCAAGATCTCCGTGAGAAGGTGGCATCTGAGGAAAGATTAGAAAGGGGGAGAGAGAACGTGTGGCAATCCAGGAAAAACTGAGTTCCAGCCAGAGGGAACAGCCAGTGCAACAGCACAGAGGCAAGAACACCTGGCACATTCGCAGAATGACAAAAGGACAAGTGTGGGATTTGTGAGGCAGAAAGTGATAGACAATGAGGTCAGAACGGTAAAAATCAGCAAGATCGATGGCACACGGCCTCATAAGCCATGGTAAAAGAACTTTGGCTGAGTGAAACATGAAGTCAACAGACGGTTTTAAGAAGAGTAATGTGGTCTGACAAATTTCAAAAGGATGACTAGGGCTGGTGTGTGGAACAAGACTACGGGGACGGGGACCAGGGGGATAGGCAGGACACCAGTTAGGAGGCACTACAATAACCCAGTACAAGTAATGATAGGGCCAGAGAGAGGTCAGATTTTAGACTACTAGATTCTGGCTGACAAGGGAGACTGGAGGCTTGGTTGTGGGAGAATCAAGCCATTTCCTCCACCAAGAACACAGGTTCTCTCCATAGAATATAAAGGAAAGAAGCAAACCCACTTAGAAGACAGGGTTCTGCAAACACATCTCCATCTCACACGTGCAAGGCCTCACGTCCTGCAGGGATATGTGGCGGGTTGGGGCTCTCCCTGCTCTCTCCTGAGTGCGTGCACACTTCCAGACTTCCAGTGGGATGTCGGATCTTACAAAGGTCCACTCACTCCTGAGATGTCTGGCTAAAATCCCCGTCAATCTGTGGCTTTCCCCAACCAGAATTACAACCGCGTGTGCTGGCTATCAGCCTTCCCATTCTTTTGCCACAAAAATCACTACTGTTTCCAACATCATTCCAGAAATATGTTTGCTCCAAATTAAGGGAGCCCCTCCCGGCAGCAAAAGCGAAGCTACCAGACTGCACAGCTCACCCCTCCCAGGAAAACCATCAGGACAAGTCAGCAGTGGGAGTTTGCAGACATGGAGCAGCCTCAGGGGCTAAAATACCAGACTGTCCTTACAGGTTCAGTCATTTTTCTTGAATAAATGTCTCTCAATTGTTTTTACAGTTTTAGTCACTTTCTCAAGTCCTAAACTGGATGCTTTTTGACAATTTTATGGACTTTTATCATTGATTTTTGATAAGTGGACTTGCCAACCTCCTTACTCAGCCATTCTGCATTAAGTACATTTTAAACGTAATTTGCCTGCGCAACCTACTAACCATGCCATGGACAGTATTTTGAAACATTTCTAAGTACAGAAATGGCCCTATGCTCAACCTGCTGTGTTCTTTTTACTGTTAACATGCCTTTGTAGGAGAGCTACCTCAGGTGGACTTAAGTGGGGAAGCATGGAAGCAGAGTAAATACATTCGCTAAGCCGCAGACACACGCCAGGGAGCTGCCCGCACGATTAAGTGCTGGGCACGGAACTGCTCCCTGTTTTCAGCTCTCTCTTTCTAACTACACATAAGCTCTTACGCCCTAAAAATGCTCTCTCTTGGCCAGATATAACCCAGTGCTTTTAGTCTAAGCTCTTTCCTCTTCCTCACATCAACTTTCCTAAAAGAATAAAACTGTCCTCCCTTCCTCACCTCTGGTCAATCCTTTCCCAGTGAAAAATCGCCCTCATAGGGGTTCAGTGGCCTCTCAAATTTACCAAATCCAATGCACAGTTTTGGTTCTTACGGTGTACCTCTGTGTGTTCCGTTTGACAGTACTGCCTCTCACCCCCTCCCGGCCCATCTCATCTCCATTCCTACACTCTCTTAGTCCTATTATTCGAACGTTTTTCTGTAGACCCCTGAGACGGACTTTCTCTTCCTGCATCTACCCCTAAAATGTTACTGATCTCCTAATTATTCCTAATAGCTAGAAACAACTTAAAGGTCTGTTAACTGGTGACTAGACAGATAAATCGTAGTATATATTTACAATAAATTACTACTCAACAAAAAAAAGGAACCAACTACTGACACAGCAGAAGTATTATGCTCTGTGAAGGATGCCACACGCAAAAGATGAAGTACTATGTGATTCCTTCTATATGAAATTGTAGAAAAGGAAAACATGGTGACAGAAAACAGATCAGTGGTTGCCAGACACCACAGGTGTGGGGAAAGGACGGATGGTAAAGGGTATAAGGGAAGCTTTTTGATGTAATGGAAATTTTTGTTTCATGATTCTGTTGGTGGTTATACAGCATTTGTCAAAATTCAATGAAGGGTACACTTAAAACAGGCACATTCCATCATATGTAAATTATACCTTCATAAAGTTTTTTAATGAAACACAATGTCTAGTATATAATAAGCACTCAATAAATAGTAGCAAAAAATAACTATGATTTTTATGGCAATCCAAAAAAGGAATGGTTCATAGAGAAAAAGACTGAGAATTTGAAGATGCTTTTTTCAAAGATGATGTAACTTCAGAAATTTACTTTTAAAAACCCTACCCTATTAGCAGATAATACAAGGGCTTAAAGAAAAGACCTGTCACTTAGCTCTAGTCTCTATAAAAAGAGGACTGAGCACAGAGCCAACTGAAGTGTGACTCTAGGGAGGCTAGTGAGCATCTCTCAGCAGCATCTGTGCAGCAAACAGAGCAGAGATCACGCTATTCCAAAAAAGTGAATGGTAAGTGATAAGGCAGCAACAAAGAAGTCAGAAATGAACAGTGTCAAATGAGAAGTAGGATATAATATATCCCTGAAATTCTAATAACACTTGAGAGAATTTGAAACTTCTCATTAAACACTTCAAAAATACTTCAAATAAAATAGGAAGCAAAACGACAAAGCGAGGCTGTCAAATTTCAACAGTTGCATACGTGGCACTGGGGACTAGGTAACCAAGAAACCAAATGAACCAAATTCTCTCCTGCATCTAGCAGAATCTAGCCAGAGAGTGGCAGAGACTAGGAATAATCACCACCCCTTCTGCCACCCCTTGTGTGTGCACGCACACATACAGACACACACACACACACACACACACACACACACACACACATCTTTGAGAACTGTAATAAAGCAGCTGTATAACAAGAGGAAGCTAAACACATGCCACTTCTTACCCTCTTCTGCTTCATCCTCCTGGGGTGACAGTGGACCCCCTCCACTAGTAGGAGTGACTGGTTCCTCCTTCTCAGACTCTCGATGCAGGCTCGCCACCTCATATATTGCGTCTCCAGCACTGGTATGGCCTTTTCCCTCCGACTGAGAAAGATATAAATATGTGTTTCAAAACTATAAACCTGAAGAAACACTGAAAGATAGTATTCCAGTGGTTCATTTAAAAGAGTTGAGGGGCGGCCGGGTGGCTCAGTTGGTTAGAGCGCATGCTCTTAACAACAAGGTTGCCTGTTCGACTCCCACGTGGAATGGTGGGCTGCTCCCCCCACAACTAGATTGAAAGCGGTGACTGGACTTGGAGCTGAGCTGCGCCCTCCATAACTAAGACTGATGGACAACAACTTGACTTGGAGCTGATGGATCCTGGAAAAACACATTGTTCCCCAATAAAGTTTAAAAAAAAAAGAGCTGAAATGAAGAGCAGTTTGTCATGTTTGATCAACAGCATGTCTGAAATCGAGAAAATTTTTAAAGTGCATTGTTCTTGACGTGATATTCTAAACATGTGGTTCTTCTAGTATTATTTAAACCAATATAATGTTAGTAACCAAATACTAACAATTTGGGGAGAACTCAATTTTTTTTATATGAAAAACTTGAGACATCACAGATTCTAGGGCAGGCAGATAAGCAAGTGATGCTAGATTCTTAGACTGATTACCTCGCACTGAAATAAAGAGATATCAACTACATCTGTCAACTACTTCATGGAAATAGATAGTTTTTACTTAAAAATGGTTCACATTCTAAATGGACCTTTTTTTTCAAGATTTTATTGGGGAATTGGGACAAGGGAACAGTGTTGGGGAATTGCGGAAGGGGAACAGACAAGTTGCTGTCCTTTTGTTCTTCAGTCTAGTTGTGCAGGACGTCGCTTCACTTACCCATGTTGGCATTGTGATCATTGCACTCTTCCTTGGTGAGGCAGTCGCTCACCAGCCATTGGACGGTTGCTCACGGCGGCTCACTGCGGCTCACAGCAGCTCACGGCTGCTCACGAAAGCTCACGCCAGCTGCTGGCCAGCCCCACTGCAGCCTACACCGTCGCCAGCAACTCACAGCAGCCCAGCTCCAGGTCGAGCTGTTGTTCACCATCTTTGCTGTAGAGGGCGCAGCGTCACTAGCCCTCATGTGGGATCCGAACCAGGGACCTGCTGCTCAGCGCTGGCGTCCCAAGCCAACTCCTAACCAATGTGCCACTCGGCTGGCCCATAAATGAGCTATTTGTTTAAGAAGAACAAATTAAGGCAATTTCCAACTAATCAACTGAGCCTGGCCTGCAGTGTCCTAGATAAACTGCCTCCAGCCTCATCTCACACACAAAGCTTATTACTACAATCCAGCCACTCTGGCCTTGTTTCAGCTCTGGAAACCTTTAAACTTTTTCCCAACTCAAGATCTTGGGACATCCTTTTCTCTCTGCCAACACAGATTTTCCTCCTACTCTTTGCTAAATTCCATCAATCTTAGATCTTTACTGCTTTCACTTCTACAAAGAATCTAAGTCCCCCACATTTCTGATTCTCATCATTCCGTCTCTCCCTTCACTGCACTTACCACAGTGTAATTACACATTTATTATCATACTTATTTGTTTAATGGTTGTCTTGTCCACAAAACGGTAAGCACCATAACGTCAGGGACTACACTGATTGTCAATCAGAAATAATACAGGACCTCACACATAGCAGGTACTCAACAAGTATCAGTGGAATGAATGACTGGCAATGGTTACCTTCTTCCTTCACTACAAAACAAAAATTATGTATATTACCTAATAACACTGCCTAATACAGGGACGTCACAGAAACCCTAATTTTGTTCATTTGATATTAAAATAATTTTGTAACCTTATTGATAAGTCAAACAATACATTCATGTAATATAATAGGTAGAAGTAACTATGACAATTAGTCAGGTATGACTTGAAAGTTTTTTCATTATAACTTTGTAAAGGTATGACATTTCTGTGCTCTGTTAGGTTTTAAATTATTGTATAAAAAAGGAGGGTAAAAGTTGATTTAGATATAGAATCAATATTTCTATTAAGGAGCTAGCCGTGTGATGCATTGGTTAAGAGTTGGCTTGGGAGTGTCGGCTCTGAGCAGCAGGGCCCCAGTTTGGATCCCACATTGAGGGCCAGTGACGCTGCGCCCTCTATAGCTAAGATGGTGAACAACAGCTCG